GATATATCTTTTCTTAAATTTTGTTCTTGTAGTGTTCCTCATGTACCTCTTCGCGTAATCACCTAAACTCGTCACTTTCAAATTTTTACACCGTCGTTTGTTTGTTACAGTTAAACTGCAAAATCTGAAGCGAAAGGAAAATTTTTTTTCTAAAGTTGATAGTAACCTCGGGCTAAGTCTAGTCATCACTCAAACTAAAATCGGGTACGGAGAAACTGTGTGAGAACGTCGTTATTCGCCTCTAGTCAGGCTTCTTTTGCTCTATCCTTCTTTAGACATTGATGAATTTGATTCACTATTTACTCTTTTATATCTTGATTTTGTCGTCTAGGCAAGACAACATTTGCCACTGTGCCTTGAGTCTGTTTCTGTCTTGTCTTCAGATTGCTCTTATGGTCCCATAAAACTTCAACATGCCTATACTTTCCTTCATTCATATTCCTCTTTCTATTTTATATTTTTCAGTCTCCTCTATATCATCAAAAAAATCGAAGCATTCACCTTTTGGCCGCCCCACCTCTACCAAGCTTTGGCCTCCTCCAATTGATACAACTGATAGGTTCTTTGAATATCTTATCCAATCTCCACAATCCCAGATCTTATGTGCTTCAGAATCAGCAGCCCCAATACCAAAACGATCCACCTCTTTGCCTGATCAGCGGGATGCCAAATCCGATAGGACCTATAAATTACCTTTAACAGAGGTAGCAAATGAACCTGGATTTAACGTACTCACGGCTCCTGCGCCTATCCTCTGGCGATGGCTCCGCGCTTTCGACAAATATCTTCTGGAGCCAATCCGTTCGGATTCGTGAGTGGCCGCCTACAAGATTCTTTTTTAAAATTTATTTATAATGAGCACGTTTCGATACTACCAGTAGACCATGAATCACGACTAGGTCGCATACGGCGATAAACGACTGATAGTTTAATTTCCACACATCGATTCTACGGAATCTCGTTTATCCTTGCCTCTCATAGAGTATTCTTATCTTGGGTAGACTGCAGTTTTGACCTCGTCTTTGTCCCGTCATAGCCAAGCCTTTCTAGCATCACAATTGCATCGTTTAGCCCTATAGTTAAATGGTCCACCTATTAGCTATACGACTTCTACGCCACTTA